CGCACCGTGGGCAGAAATTATTGCCATCCAAGTACATAATGCCAGGCCGTCCCATTCCGTCGCTCCAGACGCTTCATTAGCATAATGGCCAACCTTATGGGGTGTAAATCATCAGAAACATAAGCTCCCAAGCAGGTGGGCGAAAAATGGCAGCAGCACCGAGAGTAGAGAAAATAAAACTCAAAAATCACATTGCTAATTCATAAATAAGCCGCTTGACTTGGCAGCTTTTGTGACACAATTTCAGCTAAATAAGAAAAGAAAAAAAAAAAGCCAGGTGGTATAAAATATATGCCAATATATCAAAAGGATTGCCAAAGCACACACACACACACAGACATACACACAGCCAGCGCCATCGAGCGTATTTGATTTTTAAACGCGCCCCATTTTGCGGCTGCCACATTAGCATACATCTGCATACATGTGGCTGGGCTGGATCTACTCTATATGTATATATACGTATATATGCAAATGGATATAGTCCCTTGTACTGGGACAAGATACTTATGATTCACGCACGACTCGGGCAAAGATTGGAGCCACTTGAAGGTGCCGCAGGCGCTGATTGTGTTGACACCCCGGGCCAAAGTGCCACCTCCTCATCCTCCTCCTCATCCCCATTCTCATCCTCCTCCTCCTCCGCTCCATTATAATCGCTCGAGTACTTGGTAAAAAGCCAATAAAGGAGAGGAAAATGAAAATATTTCCCTTTGAGCTGACTGACGACGGCCAAGGTGAGCGGGGAACGGGGAACGGGGAATGGGGCATGTTAACGTTATCAAAAGGGATGAATCAACTCACATTATGCATTCACAATTTGTTTGGGATCTGAGCCGAGGAAGTATGCAAATAATACAGTTTTAACTGATAGCTAAGAGCGCATAGTAACTACGGAATAATGTAAGTCTCAGCAGAAGAAAAGGTGATATCAAAAATTTACAAGGATACAAACGAGTTCTTAAAACTCTTTAAAGATTAGGATTCTTTGATATCGTTTAATTCCTAAGATTTGGTTAAAGTCAACGGTTATAATTTCTGATTATTGTTTTTCCAAAAATCAATGCTTAAAATATAGTAATTTTACATTATTTTTCTAAATTCTTCGACTTTCAAAAATAATTAACATAATTTACACTCCCAATTTTTTGTATTACATTTTAATAATTGAACAACTTATGCACTACCTACTCTCTTCACAGGGAATCTTTTTTTGCAAAGCTGTTAAAAGTTTTAATACTTTGCCGCGCTAATATGCGTTTAAAAAATATGCATGCCCAACTGCAAGTTCTTAAAACTTCCTTTTAAAGCACTTTAAAAGTTTGTGATCTCATTATATCCTTTCGCTAAATGTTCGGTTTCAAGCACTAAGCACTTAATTTCCTCCTCTGTTGAAAAGTAAAATAAAAACCCCGCTGCTCACCATGATTAAAAGGTGCAAACAGAGCACTTTTCAGGGAAATCCACACGGCAAATTGCGCTGTCAGGGGAAAATGTTGGGGATGCATTGTACTAACTACATTGTACTACCCGTTCTACGCTTCACTTTCATAAAATGCAAATACAAAAATTATACAAGCACAAAGAAGTCTTTTGCAGCGCTTTGTGATTTCACTTATTCTTTTGTTTAATTTGTACTCGGCACCGCCCGCGCTTCCACAGGATGTCTTCATCATAATTACAAACAAAGCATAACTAGGGGGAAAACAGCAGACAAACAACAGCAGCAGCAGCATCAGCAACAGCAGCAACAGCAGCAACATCAGCACCAACAGCAGCAACATTGCCATGAACAACAGCAACATCAGCAGGAGGCGTCGCAAAAGAAGTAGCAAACGCGAAATTGTTTGCACAGCAAGTTGCTGCGAAGTCTCCAAAAAGCACAAGAAAATCTAAAATAAAGCAAAAACAAAGGAAAAAATATGAAAGTCAACAAACGGCGGCAACAGAACATCTGCTGCAGTTGCAGCTGTACTTCTACAGCTTTAGACCTCACTAATATGTTTTCCGGTCTATCCAAAATCGGACATATTATTGAAATTTTGACGCCAAAACATCAGGGAATATTTGCTTAATTTACTTATTTAAATCCACAAGCCTGTGGAAATTTCAAACCATTCACTAGGCCTTTAATCAGTTAATTTATAAAAAAAATTTTTAAATCCCTAAAGACTTTTCTTAGCTGCCCCCAATTTAAATAATTGGCAGATACTGCACTGTGTGGTGCTTGAGAATTTCCTTCTGGCAAGCATCTCCTGATGCTCCAATGCTAATGACATTGAATCTGTAATACTTTAAGTTGATTATGCTACACATATTGCCCCTATTACTTTGCAAAAATAGCTGGTATTGTTGCTAAATTGCTACTTATTAGTGTGGAAGCACTTGCATATATTGCTGCAATTCAGCAGCTTACGTTGCAGCACCATTTTGTGTCGCAAATATTATAGTATTTCCTTTTGCATTGACTAATGGGGCAGCTGTTAGGGATATGGTGGCAAGAACTGCTGGTGGCACTGTCTTTTTATCGCTGATGTTGCAGTTCCCCAAAGAGAATTTAATGATGCACAATTGTTGATCAATTATTTCCATGTACTATCAATCATTTATTTTTTTTGTTATGCAGTCGACTCAAATGTTTTGCATGTTAATAATTGAATAATTACAGCCACAGTTATTTTCATTGCATAATTAATAATTCCATCAAACACGCTCACACGGACAAATGTGAAAATGCGTTAGTTGCCACTTCGAGTTGAAATTGAATATATCGCAGCCACCCTCGAAAATCAGAAGCAACCGGCCATCTAGATATTAACAGTCATAAATACAGGGCCATAAATGTATTTATGTATGCATAATAACTGCAATGGCTGTGGGTAAATTAAATTGATATTTTGTAGGCGAGCAAATTCGTTAGGCGATAAAGAGGCGGAATAAAGAGTCGAATCACTCTTGTGGATATAAAAACAAAAGTTAATCGACTGGTAAGTGGCTTATCCAGCGCTAAGTGCTGCCTTCTCTTCCGTGGGTACATAAATACATAGATATACATATTTATGCGGCTATATAGTCCCCATCCCGGGATTTCTTCTCCGCTTTTTATTCCATTCCATTCCTTTGTTGATGGAATTTTTTGCGCTGAAGAGATGAAAGTTGCTCCCTTCCCCTCCACCCGCATCACAATGTCGAAGAAGTTGCTTTTTTGAATTTTTCAATTAAATGTTAATTAAGTTAATGAAATGCTTGCCACACCCCGCATATACGGTGCGTTTCTTTTTTGCGCCCCAGATCGGAAACAGGCAAGCCCAGAGAGCTGAGAAAAGTAGAAATAAAATTTCCAAATTTATGACCAGCATTCCTTTAGACTCTTCTTAATTTCACTGGATTTTCACCAAAAGCTCTGCCACAAGAATTTCCCCATCAAAAAGTTGCTAAGCAATATTCACAAAACAAATTTAATTAGTTTACGGAAAGCATATATTTAGGTATATTTACAATGAAGATTTGATGAACACAAAGTAAAGTTTGTTGGAAAAATAAGGTAAGACCGAAATTCAGTTGCCGGAAAAGCTTTGAAATGAAAAGGTTACGAAGAATCGCAATTAACTGGCATTTTTATATTGGTGAAAAGGAATACGAAAAGTGATTTAATTATGCAAATGTTGATATTTACCTTTTCAGTGCTTCGGATTTTGTAAATTTCAAATTTTAAAGATGTTTCTTTTGGTTTCATGGGCTAATTTAAAGCGTTTTTTATTGAATAGTAATTATCTTTGTTCAAAAACAATTTATTGATTAAGGGTATATAAAAATAAGTTTTGAATTTTAATAAAATAAAAAATTGGTTTTAAACTTAAATCTAAGTTGAACACTTTATGCTTAATTCTACAGAGTAATGACTTTGGTCTGCTGCTTCTATTAAATGTTTGTTTCCGTTTGTCTGTTTGTGTTCCATGCTTCTTTATTACCGGGATTCGAACCCGGACCGGCGGTACTATTTAAAAACTTGGAGTATACAACTTTACTTACTCCGCTACCGCCGGCGGCGATTTGACAGCTTCCTAGAGTTCTACTTGAACCTCTTGCCTACTTTGTTCCTTTCTCAAAACAGGCTTCTGTAATTCCCAATTCTTTTCTCGGCAGCAACCTACTTCGATTGTCGCCCTGGCAATCCATGTATGTTTAGGGTTTTCACCGAATATTTGACTTGATTTCGTTTCACGAACTCATCTAAAACACCTTTTTTTCCCGGAAATCACCTATTTAAATTTCCGTTTGACAAGAGTGTTTTGTTAAAACCACCTTCCTTTGCGCGGCTCCTCTTTATGCGGATACTATAAGTATATATTTTTGAAGTCGAGTGTGCGCCGGGTATTTATGCACCGCCATCCCCGGGCCTTTGCTCCTAATTAGTTAATGTGGAAGAGCGAGGCCTGTCACTCCACGATGAAAATGGAGATGGAGATGGAGATGGGCTGCAGATGGTATATGGTAGATGGTAAATGGGCATGAAGATGGAGAGCTGTAGCCGAGAGTTGAGTACCCAAGTTGGTTCCCCTGGCGTTGGTTCCTCGGTCTCAGCACGCGGCATGCTACAAAGAACATATTTGGAATCTCTGGAGGAGAGCAGGCGGAGCATCCTGCTTTGTGGCAGCTGTTGCGACCAACCCCCAACCCCCAACCTCCCTCTTGGCACAGTTTTGCCCTAATGAAATATATGAGGACAGGCTTCAAAGCAGATTTTACATCCAGAAAAATCCCCAACCCACTAAGCAAATGTGCGCGTGTGTTGTATGTATTTTTAATGTCGTAGAGTTTTACCTACCTACCAACAAAAACCTCCCCATTTGGGCATTAAAAATGTAAACGCTTTACGGGCCACACGGCGTATGCTTAATGCATAACGTATACGCACTGTGCGACGCTCGCATACAAATAAACCGAAATGAACTCTTTTTCCATTTTCTGTTTTTCTGTTTTGCAACCATGTCTCACAGGTAAACGTGAGCAACACCTGGACGATGCCGCAGGAGGGTCTGAACGTCTTCTATCGCTTCTTCCGCGATCGCATATCCTGGTTCGAGGCCGATGCCGTCTGCCAATTCCATCACGCCAATCTGGTTACGGGTAAGCGAAAATCCACCTGAGAAGTTGAAGAAGACCAGACAAGCGACAAGGGGGAAAATGAAAGCAGTAAAAATGCAAATAAGCCCGGACAACGAGGACCAAAGGCACATTATTACAAATGTCCGGCCAACGACTGTCACCTAGCAACGAATGCATCTAGGACTCTGGCAAAAAAAAATAAACAAAAAAAAAAGAAACAAAAGGGAATAGAACGCGGGGTATTGGGAGTACTGGGTGCAAAAGACAGATGCCAAAGGGATTGCCATTGTGGTTCGCAAATGAATGAAATGACAGCAAAGTGACGCAGCCACAGTCGAGTCTTTTATGTGGCCGGACCCCAAAAGCTTTGCCGTAGAATCAACCTCTGCCCTGCACTTTCCCCCGTTTACCGCATTGCTATTGCTTTCCATTTTCATCCTGGTTTCCCCCCTCTCCCACCCCCCTACCAACCAACTAACCAACCAACCATCCAACCAACCAACCTCATAATACAATAAATCCTACTGACAAATGCTGTCGCTGCAGTGCCGGGGGTTAGGAGGGGTTTCAAAGGGCTTCCAAAAGGGGCTCTTTCCTTCGAAACAGTACCAGGTTGAGATTGGGGTCACAGTGGCCAGATAAAGATGGCCAACGGTTCAGTGCATCTAAATCACAATCACCCGGTCGCTCAAATGACCCAAAACAACCGACTCAATAGTGTGCCAGAAAGTTGCCAATATATCTGCTTTCAACAAAAGTTTCCCCCCATGCTGGTCCTCTGATCTTTACTGGGGGAATATATATAAAAGTCAGGGAGGATGAATTTATTCATTTGAATTATAAAACATTTTTTGTGACTTGTGAAAAGAACCAAGGTAAGAAAGGGAGATTTTTTAGATCAGTCCTTGATTAGTGGAAAATGTTAATTGGCCAAAATATATTTCAGTCCATGCTTTCCTTTTAATAAAGTTTCCAAATCAAATTTAAGTTCGATCTGTTTCTTTGAAGCCATCCACTTCCGATTATAATTTGTGATTAAGGAAATAGCTTTGTGGATTTGTTTATTTAATATTTAGTGAGACGTTAAGAGTTTTAGGGTCAAGGGTTGATTTGTTGACATTGGACAACATTTTTTGGCAACATATGCAAATGTGAGGACGTGTGTGACAGAACGGGTAACACAAACAATGGCTAAATAACAATTGCAAACAGGAACGAAAACAGAAAACAGACACGAGAGCGGGGAAAATGGAAACAAAAATAATTTTCAGCAGCGTTTTGTTAACAATTTGTGTTGTCACTAGAGGGTAACATCGAGCTGATGGCTTCCCACTGCCGAAAAACCCAATGGAAACAAAAAGCTAAAATACAAAAACAAAAAAAGTAAAACAAAAACACAGGACGAAAAACAAAACAACAATAGACGAGGCGAATTTAATAGAAATACTCTGTGTAGAACAAATAAAAACCATTTGTCGTCTCGTTTTCATTTGAACTATTCTCTCTGCTCTTCCTTTTTTTCTTGTTTTTTTCACCCCCCTTTTTTTCCAAATATCCTGTGTGTCTGCGATGTCCTTACAGTCGACAACAGTTTTCAATTCGATGCAACGCGCGACCTGCTGAGGGAATTGGATGTGAACGACATCGTTTGGATTGGTCTCATGCGACCGCAGAACTCGGATCGTTTTATGTGGTCGTAAGTACAACAATAGCAACGGGAACATCAACATCAACACCAGCAACAAAAGCAGCCCATAGTCCAGGATACGGATACAGGGATACAAATACAGATACATTTACAGATACAGGGTTCAGGGAACAGGACACGGGGATGCAGTCGAAAGGGATTGTATGACAATTGTCCTGTTGGGGCCGACATGTGTATAGTGGTCCTCCATTTAGGAATAGATCGGAGCCGGGGAAGCCCCAACTGGAAAAACGAAAAGCATACATGACACACTAAGTGAAACCGAGTAGGGATAACTAATAAAATAACAATGGAAAGGCTGCAGGATATTGGGTTTCATAAATGCTGAGTTAGAGCTAGCTGAATTCGAAATGTTTCAAACAAAAATGGGTTCACTTTTTTAATAAAAAATGTATATGTAAGCTGATACACAAATTAAAATCAATAAGGTTACATCATTATAAAAATGGAGGAATTCCTAAATGAAAGCAAAACTGGGAAAGCAAGACTAAAGCTTAAAATAGGAAAATAAATCCATTTTGTCAGAGTTTTTTTTAATGTGAATAAAAATAAAACAAAATATTCGTTAAAAAATCAGACAAAGGAAACAATTTTAGAGCTTAACTAACATCTGTTTTTTTGGCATTAAGTTTAAGATTATATATTTTTATGGCAAGCGAATAATTGTTAGTTGAGTAATATAGGTGCAAAATGGAAACGTAAAAAAAACTCTTTGCAATTTTATTGGAACATTTTTTTTTTTGGGTGGCTAGGAACTCTCGTCCTTTGGTGGCGGACACTGGATACTGGGCGGAGTCGCTGCCCTTAATGGATGCTCCACTTTGCGCCGTAATCGATCCCATCCGCGATTACCGCTGGCACGCCCTGCGATGCGGAGGACCCGAGACCGCCTCCTTCCTCTGCGAAATGCCAGGTATGTCTCGAATTCTGGGCGGGATTCCAGATATCTAACTGATCAGCTGCTCCTACTCCTGCTCCACCATTTAGTGCCCAGCTGGGCGGATGCTTGTATTCTGAAGGACATGCCCAACTTGACCATGCAGTACATGGCGGATACGGCCAGCATCGAGCTGATCCGCAATTGCCAGGAGGAGGGACTCCTGCGACACACCTGCAAGGGCAAGGAGGTGAGTTGGCAGAGGGATAAACATTGCGTATATGGACTTTAAAAGCAGAGCTTTTGCTCACAAAAACGGTGACCTAACAATAATACCGCTTAGAAATTTTATAACAGTTTAGAACTTTTATCCATCATTATCATTATTAGACTATTTCTTTTGGGTTTGGCTGACATGAAATACCTTCAAAATTTTCTTATAATTATGATGATATAAGTATTGTTTACATTGCTTTTGAAGAATTCTGATAAGTAGTCCCATATTAAACTATACTATTTGGGTAATACTTTTTTTAAAACACACCCATTTCCTCTTCTTTTTCGATCCTCTTTCATATGGCAGGATCGTGAGCGGGCCATCCGACAGCTCATCTGCCCCAAGGAACGTCTGGAGGCGCAGCGCATCAATGACATCACCAACTCGCACTTCAAGTCGCTGCAGATCATCAACAACATTCGCACCGACAACAAGGAGAACAACGACATTGATTTGTTGCCCAACTATGGACGTGGGTCTGGAATGGCCATCAACATCGAGGTGGCTCCCCCAGTGCCTCCCGTTTCCGTGCCCGGATTGGGTGAACTAATGCAGGCGGATGCTCCGGGCTCGGTCTCGCTATCCGGACTCTATCGCATACCGGACTTGGTGCCCAAGCCGGTGAAGAAGGCGGCCAAGAAGGTGATCACGCCGGACTTTGCCAAGAAGCTGCAGGGCAGCAACCACCAGCAGCAGCACAACCAGCAGCAGCAGCAGCAACAGAAGTCGCGCAAATCGCTGGTGCAGCAGCAGCAACATGAGGATGAGGAGCTGATGTTGGGCGACCAGCCGGCACTCAGTGAGGAGCAACTGCCGCCGGGTATGGGAATCGGTATGCGGATCCCACTCAACGAGGACGACAGCAATAGCGATGCCTCCAATGAGATATTCGAGCATTTGCCGCACAAGAAGAAGATCCTGCCGCAGGATTTGCGCACCATGTCGCCAATTGTGGAGGCTGAATCCTTGATGACTACAACAACAACACTGAAGACAACAACTTTGGCGGCACCGGCAACAGCAGCCACAGCAACAACAACAACAACACCAGCAACAACAACAACTGCGGCAGCAGCAACAACAACAACCGAACTGCAGACCACACCAAAAGCAGTGGATACCACAAGTTCGCAGGCACCAGCAACAACTATTAGACCAACAACAACCATTAGCAGCACCACTATTACAACCACCACCACAACAACAACAACAACGCCCCAGCCAGAGCTAGCGACAACAACAACTAAGAAACCGGAGCCAACAACAATGGTCGCACCCCGAACAACAAAAACATCAACAACAGCAGCAGCAACCTCATCAATGGCCACCACGACAATTGCAACATCAGCTGCAACACCACCACCAACAACAACAGCAGGAACGACAACAACAACAACAACAGTAGTCAGCCGGGCCACATCCACCGACAGCAGCAACAGCAACAACATGGCCCATCCCATTCATCCGTCGCAGCAGCAGCAACACCACCAGCAACAGACATTGCACGAAGGCTCAACGTTGCAGCAGCAACATGCAACGCACGTCAACGAGTCCGCCGACAATACGCGCTTCATACCGCCAATGCTGCTGGTGAAGTCGCACTATGTGCCGCCGGCCAAGCATGCCAGCGAGCATGCGACCACAACAACACTTGCAACAACAACGACCAGCACGACAACAACAGCAGCAGAAACAAAACCAGCAACCCCAGCAGCAACATCGGCCAGAGAGGAAACGCAGCCATCAACAGTCACGTCATCGAAGGGACTGACAGCAACAGTAGCAGCAGCAACAGCAGGAACGTCAGCAACAACACCAGTAGCAACGGCAGCAACATCAACCGTGACAGCGACAACAGGTGCAACTGTGGAGGTGACAACAAGCGTAAAAGTAGCTGAAGACACCGCAGCAACATCAGCGACAACAGCAGCAACAGTAATTGCCAGTGAAGCGCCAGCAGCAGCAACAACTATTGCCGTAAGACCAACCGCAGCTAATGAAATCAAATCGAATGCCACAGCAGCAACACCAGCAACTCCAGCAAAACCAGCAGCAACAACACCCATTCCGAAGCCAGTGAGAGTTTTCCGGTATCCCCCACTGAACCAAGGATCCTTCAAGGTGGATAACAACGGAATGGGCAGCCCGGAGGAGGAGGACGACGACCAGGAGGGGGAGCATTCGGAGGCCGAGGCAGTCACAACGCGACACAACTTCCTGGAGGAAACCGAGGCGCCATTCAAGCCAAATCGACGACGCTCGCTAACCAAACCGGAAACGGTTAGCTATTTCAAGAAGATTTTGGGCTAAGCAAAAACAAGAAGAAGCCGCGTTGCTGCAGTCGTAATCCGCACTAGTAACCGTAATCGTAATCGTAACAGTAACCAACTGTTAATCCATAAATAAGAGGAAAAAAAACAGAAAACAGAAAAGAAAAAACAGAAGAAAGTAAGCACTCCCTGCAGCCACGTAATTGGTCTTTAAAAATCAGAGCGAATTGAATCAGTTGTTGCGGTTTGCCCCGCTGGCCATTTCCTCCGCAAGAACTCCTCGAAACCCTCTTCCATATCCACATTCCGGCCAAAAGTTTGCGGAGCCACCACTTCCCAAAGTCTTGTGTCTCCGGCAGAAATGCCGGAAATCCAAGCGGAAACCCAAAAGAAAACTCAACTCAACTCAACTCGACTCGACTCCAGTTGCAAGTACCGAAATATGTCAATTTTTCACCGAACAAAAAGAAAGGGAATAAAAAAGGCAAACAAACACACAAATACTCACATTAAAATCAGATACATTTACACTTACAGCCGGAGAAAGTGCGAAGTCTGTCAGGTGGAGAAAAATAACGAAACGCTGGAGGAGATTCAGGTTCAGATGGAAAGGCAGAAAAGGGGGAGAAGGTTGGCCAACAGGGAGTGTGTGCAATGCAAAGGCCAAATCTAAAGTACGATAAATACTACAAGCAAAGTGTTTACAAACGTATACATAAGGCGTCTGTTTTGGATTTCCGTTTGCTTTGCCTACGAGCGACATGTGGTCACACTGGACCAAATGGGGAAAAACTGCGGGAGAAAGTGTGAAAAGCGTTGGGAAAAAGCGAAAAGTGCGTAGTAGAAAACACATATAGTTTTCCCTATGGCAACTTTTCCAATTGCTTTCACTTCAAAGTGCAGACGTTTTCAGACCTTTTTATTTCCTTTTTCTAAAACTGATACAAGCCAGTTTCTTAAAATTTTTTAAAGCCTTTTCCTTTTTTTGATTTCCCAATTCCTTTCTTCTAAAATTCAATAACAATTCCTTTTGTAAACATATTTATTTTATGCTTCCATTGACCAACTGAGTTTCCCAAGGCTTTTGACGAAATGTTTTGACAACCTTTTATTTAAATGCATTTTAAAAGAGCTTATAAATATTTGAAACCTTTGTTTAATCGAAATATAATTCAACTTCTTTTTCTATAGTTATTTGTTTTAATATTCGTCGGCTTATAGTTCAACTAGCTGATTTATAACAATAGAAGGTTTCACTTGCAGCTTAAACGTACACTGACAAGAATTTATTCGACTTGATGATTTTCAGCACATTTAATATTTCGAAGTCTTTAAAAGTATTTTGCAAGGGTATATGAAAATCCAAAACAGAAATCGCCATGCAAATTACATATTTACCTATAAATTATGAACATATGAAATAGATGTTGTATTTTTTTTTGGTGTATGGAAATAGTCAAATACAATTTGTGTAAGTGAAGGAGAAAAAGTAAAAAGCGGGCGTTTGTCATTTGGAAATTTTGAGAAAATTACTTCGAATGATTGCGGCAAATTGGCAGAGCGGAGAAGCGTAAGCGAAAATAAAAAGGAAAATGCGTTGCAAGAAACGAGCACACTTAAGATTAAGCTAAAATTTAACGAATCGAAAGAGAAACCCAAAGAGAAAAATAAAACCAAAGAAAAAACGAAGACGAGTCCCTAAATGAAACGGAAAAAAGTCCGAAAAAAAAGAAAGCACTTGATGTAGAGAATTATTTGTAGGTACTTGAAAGCAGCGGGCAGATTAATACGGTTCCGTTGGGTCGGTCTAAAAAAAAACATGCAGTAAAATAGTATAAATGTAAACCAAGTAATGAATTATGAATAAAAAGAAACCCCTTCAAGAAATTACAAAGTCCAATGCGTTTTTAACTCGTAATGGGGGCGGAAAATTCTGTGGAAAATGGGGCAAGTGAAACTGAATTTCTACCTGAAGAAACGTTGGCCGCAGCTTTATTTTTGGATGCAATGTAATTTGATTTCGAATTGGAACATTATATTTAACAACAAAATGCATTAAAATTATGCCTATTCGCTTAATTTCCTTTCCATACCCTTGCTGAGGGGGCAGTCAAACGTTTTACAACGCAGTTACTGATGTAATTCTCTAGACATCTGTGTCCAAATCTTGGTTTAAAATTTACAAAATTTTAAAAATATGTTTTTGTGACCAAAAACCTGCACTTCTAAGCCCATAACTTTTCGTACACACATTCGATTTTAAAGTGGCATATCTCTAAATGATTGTGGTTTAATTATCTAAAAAACTGCGTTCTCAGTTTATTTTTTAATTTTTTGTCGATATTTCGTCATTTCTATAAGGGGTTACCTCTTCCAAATTCTCGAAAAATGGCTTTGCAGAAAAGTGACCAAAACCTGCACTTCTAAGCCCATAACTTTTCGTACACACATTCGATTTTAAAGTGGCATATCTCTAAATGATTGTGGTTTAATTATCTAAAAAACTGCGTTCTTAGTTTATTTTTTAATTTTTTGTCGATTCTTCGTCATTTCTATAAGAGGTTACCTCTTCCAAATTCTCGAAAATTGGCTTTGCAGAAAAGTGACCAAAATCTGCACTTCTAAGCCCATAACTTTTCGTACAGACATCCGATTTTAAAGTGGCATATCTCAAAATGATTATGGTTTAATTCTCTAAAAAACTGCGTTCTCAGTTTATTTTTTAATTTTTTGGTCGATTTTTCGTCAATTCTGTAAGAGGTTAAGAGGTTCCAAATTCTCGAAAAATGGCTTTGCAGAAAAATGACCAAAAACCTGCACTTCTAAGCCCATAACTTTTCGTACAGACATCCGATTTTAAAGTGGCATATCTCTAAATGATTGTGGTTTAATTATCTAAAAAAATGCGTTCTCAGTTTATTTTTGAATTTTTGGTCGATTTTTTGTCAATTCCCTTTCCCAATTCTCGAAAAATGGCTTTGCAGAAAAATGACCAAAAACCTGCACTTCTAAGCCCATAACTTTTCGTATAGACATCCGATTTTAAAGTGGCATATCTCTAAATGATTGTGGTTTAATTATCTAAAAAACTGCGCTCTCAGTTTATTTTTTAATTTTTGGTCGATTTTTTGTCAATTCCCTTTCCAAATTCTCGAAAAATGGCTTAGCAGAAAAGTGACCAAAATCTGCACTTCTAAGCCCATAACTTTTCGTACAGACATCTGATTTTAAAGTGGCAAATCTCTAAATGATTGTGGTTTAATTATCTAAAAAACTGCGTTCTCAGTTTATTTTTTAATTTTTGGTCGATTTTATGTCAATTCTGTAAGAGGTTACCCTTTCCAAATTCTCGAAAAATGGCTTTGCAGAAAAATGACCAAAAACCTGCACTTCTAAGCCCATAACTTTTCCTGCAGACATCCGATTTTAAAGTGGCATATCTCTAAATGATTGTGGTTTAATTCTCTAAAAAACTGCGTTCTCAGTTTATTTTTTAATTTTTTGTTGATTTTTCGTCAATTCCCTTTCCAAATTCTCGAAAAATGGCTTTGCAGAAAAATGACCAAAAACCTGCACTTTTAAGCCCATAACTTTTCGTACAGACATCCGATTTTAAAGTGGCATATCTCTAAATGATTGTGGTTTAATTATCTAAAAAACTGCGTTCTCAGTTTATTTTTTAATTTTTGGTCGATTTTTTGTCAATTCCCTTTCCCAATTCTCGAAAAATGGCTTTGCAGAAAAATGACCAAAAACCTGCACTTCTAAGCCCATAACTTTTCGTATAGACATCCGATTTTGAAAGTGGCATATCTCTAAATGATTGTGGTTTAATTATCTAAAAAACTGCGCTCTCAGTTTATTTTTTAATTTTTGGTCGATTTTTTGTCAATTCCCTTTCCAAATTCTCGAAAAATGGCTTTGCAGAAAAATGACCAAAAACCTGCACTTTTAAGCCCATAACTTTTCGTACAGACATCCGATTTTAAAGTGGCATATCTCTAAATGATTGTGGTTTAATTATCTAAAAAACTGCGTTCTCAGTTTATTTTTTAATTTTTGGTCGATTTTTTGTCAATTCCCTTTCCCAATTCTCGAAAAATGGCTTTGCAGAAAAATGACCAAAAACCTGCACTTCTAAGCCCATAACTTTTCCTGCAGACATCCGATTTTAAAGTGGCATATCTCTAAATGATTGTGGTTTAATTCTCTAAAAAACTGCGTTCTCAGTTTATTTTTTTTATTTTTTGTTGATTTTTTGTCAATTCCCTTTCCAAATTCTCGAAAAATGGCTTAGCAGAAAAGTGACCAAAATCTGCACTTCTAAGCCCATAACTTTTCCTACAGACATCCGATTTTAAAGTGGCATATCTCTAAATGATTGTGGTTTAATTATCTAAAAAACTGCGCTCTCAGTTTATTTTTAAATTTTTGGTCGATTTTTTGTCAATTCCCTTTCCAAATTCTCGAAAAATGGCTTTGCAGAAAAATGACCAAAAACCTGCACTTCTAAGCCCATAACTTTTCGTACAGACATCCGATTTTAAAGTGGCATATCTCTAAATGATTGTGGTTTAATTATCTAAAAAAATGCGTTCTCAGTTTATTTTTGAATTTTTGGTCGATTCTTTGTCAATTCCCTTTCCCAATTCTCGAAAAATGGCTTTGCAGAAAAATGACCAAAAACCTGCACTTCTAAGCCCATAACTTTTCCTACAGACATCCGATTTTAAAGTGGCATATCTCTAAATGATTGTGGTTTAATTATCTAAAAAACTGCGCTCTCAGTTTATTTTTTAATTTTTGGTCGATTTTTTGTCAATTCCCTTTCCAAATTCTCGAAAAATGGCTTAGCAGAAAAGTGACCAAAATCTGCACTTCTAAGCCCATAACTTTTCCTACAGACATCCGATTTTAAAGTGGCATATCTCTAAATGATTGTGGTTTAATTATCTAAAAAACTGCGCTCTCAGTTTATTTTTTAATTTTTGGTCGATTTTTTGTCAATTCCCTTTCCAAATTCTCGAAAAATGGCTTTGCAGAAAAATGACCAAAAACCTGCACTTCTAAGCCCATAACTTTTCGTACAGACATCTGATTTTAAAGTGGCAAATCTCTAAATGATTGTGGTTTAATTATCTAAAAAACTGCGTTCTCAGTTTATTTTTTAATTTTTGGTCGATTTTATGTCAATTCTGTAAGAGGTTACCCTTTCCAATTTTTCGAAAAATGGCTTTGCAGAAAAATGACCAAAAACCTGCACTTCTAAGCCCATAACTTTTCCTACAGACATCCGATTTTAAAGTGGCATATCTCTAAATGATTGTGGTTTAATTATCTAAAAAACTGCATTCTCAGTTTATTTTTTAATTTTTTGTTGATTTTTCGTCATTTCTATAAGAGGTTACCCTTTCCAAATTCTCGAAAAATGGCTTTGCAGAAAAATGACCAAAAACCTGCACTTCTAAGCCCATAACTTTTCGTACAGACATCCGATTTTAAAGTGGCATATCTCTAAATGATTGTGGTTTAATTATCTAAAAAAATGCGTTCTCAGTTTATTTTTGAATTTTTGGTCGATTCTTTGTCAATTCCCTTTCCCAATTCTCGAAAAATGGCTTTGCAGAAAAATGACCAAAAACCTGCACTTCTAAGCCCATAACTTTTCCTACAGACATCCGATTTTAAAGTGGCATATCTCTAAATGATTGTGGTTTAATTATCTAAAAAACTGCGCTCTCAGTTTATTTTTTAATTTTTGGTCGATTTTTTGTCAATTCCCTTTCCAAATTCTCGAAAAATGGCTTAGCAGAAAAGTGACCAAAATCTGCACTTCTAAGCCCATAACTTTTCCTACAGACATCCGATTTTAAAGTGGCATATCTCTAAATGATTGTGGTTTAATTATCTAAAAAACTGCGCTCTCAGTTTATTTTTTAATTTTTGGTCGATTTTTTGTCAATTCCCTTTCCAAATTCTCGAAAAATGGCTTTGCAGAAAAATGACCAAAAACCTGCACTTCTAAGCCCATAACTTTTCGTACAGACATCTGATTTTAAAGTGGCAAATCTCTAAATGATTGTGGTTTAATTATCTAAAAAACTGCGTTCTCAGTTTATTTTTTAATTTTTGGTCGATTTTATGTCAATTCTGTAAGAGGTTACCCTTTCCAATTTTTCGAAAAATGGCTTTGCAGAAAAATGACCAAAAACCTGCACTTCTAAGCCCATAACTTTTCCTACAGACATCCGATTTTAAAGTGGCATATCTCTAAATGATTGTGGTTTAATTATCTAAAAAACTGCATTCTCAGTTTATTTTTTAATTTTTTGTTGATTTTTCGTCATTTCTATAAGAGGTTACCCTTTCCAAATTCTCGAAAAATGGCTTTGCAGAAAAATGACCAAAAACCTGCACTTCTAAGCCCATAACTTTTCGTACAGACATCCGATTTTAAAGTGGCATATCTCTAAATGATTGTGGTTTAATTATCTAAAAAACTGCGTTCTCAGTTTATTTTTTAATTTTTTGTTGATTTTTCGTCATTTCTATAAGAGGTTACCCTTTCCAAATTCTCGAAAAATGGCTTTGCAGAAAAATGACCAAAAACCTGCACTTCTAAGCCCATAACTTTTCCTACAGACATCCGATTTTAAAGTGGCATATCTCTAAATGATTGTGGTTTAATTATCTAAAAAACTGCATTCTCAGTTTATTTTTTAATTTTTGGTCGATTTTATGTCAATTCTGTAAGAGGTTACCCTTTCCAATTTCTCGAAAAATGGCTTTGCAGAAAAATGACCAAAAACCTGCACTTCTAAGCCCATAACTTTTCGTACAGACATCCGATTTTAAAGTGGCATATCTCTAAATGATTGTGGTTTAATTATCTAA